GTGTGACCAGACAATGATTTAAGAATGTTTCCTGAATCATAGAATTTTTAATCCTCAATTATTTCTAAGATATTTTGTAAATGAAACTGTTCTTATTAGGAGGAACTTCAAGTCCAACAATGCAAAAATCTGGTGGGGTGGAAGGCAGCACACCAAGGGAACTGAGCAGTACAGCTGTAAATCCAGGAGATTCAGGTAGTCAGGGCATACACTTTACTATTAATGTCAAAGCACGTAGTTGGTTTGATAAATGATGAAAATGTACAAGATGATTGAAATTTTGTATTGAATTTCCCAGTCTCCTCCTTCAGAGGAATTAGCATGTGTTGTAAGCACAGCTACTGTGTTTATCAGGTATGACAGGAGAGTCCCTGGGAGCGACCTTAGAAGCAGGCAAGGGCAGCACACATGGACCATCAGGCACTGGGCCACAGCAGAGACAGAACCTGGGGGATGTGATGAGGTCTAATTCAAACTTCAGCAAGATCCTAGATTGTGATAATGAGTTAAGGAAAGGTCACCATGGACAACATTGAAGGAAGTAATGCCAAGAATAAAACAAAAAAAAAATCCTAAAATAGTATTTTCTTTATACCTATCTATACTGAATAACTGTTTTTCTCATTAGCAACAAGTAGAGAAGCAGATACATCTACTACCATCTCTGTTGGTGAAAACACTTCTGGAAGAACAGGTACTGAAGGAGCATTAGCAGTATAAAATTCCAGACAGTAGACATGTGAGCTTTGTGCTCAAATTTAGTCAGAGGAAAGGTTTCTTGGGGAATCTATTATTATTTAAGTGGTGCCAAATCTCCAGAAGATCAGAAATGTATCAACAAGTATATGTGTAGCACTTAGTATATTTTTAGAGGCAATGTGCAATATGGTGAAAGAACTAACTGGTCTCACCCAATGCCAATTGGGAAAGGGTGAAATTAATAACCACCCAGACAAGACAAAAGTTAGATGGAGATCAAGAGGGGAAAATATGCAAACTGGATCCCAGGACAATTTCAGTAAACAGAGAGTCAAGGACATTGATTTCACCTTGAATTATCTATATGATCATTATATTTTATTAATAAATAATGCCTAAATGGAATCAGTACATTATCACAGTTGCCTCATTTATTTTAAGAAACAAACTTTAGATTTTCCAAGAAGTCCATAGGGTAGATAAATACATCATTTTAAGTGAACAAGAAAACATAGTTGAGGTCATATTCATAAGAAGATTTTCCTTTAGGTTTTCTTAAGCTGACTTTTTTTTCCCCATAAATATCAGGAACATCTGGGACATCATCTGGAGTAACCCCTGAAGCCCAAGGTGGCAGCACTCCTAGAGAAGCAGGCACTGGATCCACAAGTTCAGGTGAGATCCACCAGGTTGGATATGATGTGTCAGGAGTCATTGTCTATACCCAAGCCCTCCTGCATCAGATGCAGGTCTGTAAAATCAGGTCCTTACTGGGGTTAGATTTCTGGCCTAGGAAAATTAAAGGGATCATATGCTCTATTTTATTTTATTCTGGAGAATCACAGATACTCATAGGGATGGCAGGGATAACATGCACCTCCAACATGCACCTTTTTTGTTTCCAGGGACCACAGGAATGCCTGTAGCCTCTACCACTGCCAGCCCTAGAGACTCAGGTATTTGGCTTCTGGGTATTTCATCCATACAGTGTGACCAGACAATGATTTAAGAATGTTTCCTGTATCATAGAATTTTTAATCCTCAATTATTTCTAAGATATTTCGTAAATGACACTGTTCTGACACTCAACCTCTGCTGTTAGCAAATTAGGTAAGTATGAAGGAGAATTCCATGTATTTTCAGGTATAAAATGGAGAGTAGAAGTAAATCCCAATATCTTTTCTCTGAAGTATGCTGAAGAATAGAAAGAACTATTAGGGAGAGACAGAGCCCAATTCCTAACCAATACTTTGACAGGTGGCAGTTGTCCCACTGGATCAGATGGTCTTTCAACAATCTTATGCAATGTTGTGGGCCTTTGAGTATGTTTATAGGACGTCCAAGATCTCTGATTTGGATCTTCTGAGACTATAAGTCTGTAGTGGGGCCATTATTTGCTATAATTCTAACTACAAATTAGAATTGACTGCAGAAAAATTTGAAAATTTTCCTTCATATAATCATTGAATGTGGAACCTTGGGAAAAGGATTCATTCATGCATGTGTTTTAAAGATTCAGTTGGTTCTACAATGCAGTCTAAGTGAGAACTACTAGGTTCTAATATGTGAACATTAAAGAAGTAGATAGTAAGAGACCTTATTGATAAGTAAAATAATAAACTTAATAAAGGATGCTAAGTTGTATAAGATTATATGATCAATTTTTGGAACCATTGAAATTGAAATGGAGAAGCATATACAAATAAATGAAAGATATTTTGAAAATGGGGAGTAACATTATCTGTACCACTTTATTAAGATCATGATATTATTGTTGGTTTTAAAAGGAACTAGTGGACCATCAGTTGGTGAAACAACTAGAGCCCCAAACACGGAAGTGACATCACCTAATGGGCACTCAGGTGAGCAGAGGATGGTGTTTAGAGGTCCTGGTTTTACTCAAAATGAAGAGTTATTCATGGGAACCCTGCTTATTTTAAAGCAAAGTAGTTGAGATGAAAAGTATGAAGACCTAGTTGACCCAATTGAAGATGTAGAAAGATGTCTTTTAAAAAAGTGTATTAAGTCAATCAAAATCTTCAAGAAATTAATATTAGAAAAATGTCACAGGCAACTCTGTGTAGTAAGTCACTGGATGCATCTATTCAATTTGTTCCTTTTAGAAGAGAATGGACTGTTAGATTACCCATTGGTAATACAGTTCAAGTAGACTGTAGGTGAGAAGTTCCTTTGTTGTTGTTTGCAGACACTGCTGGAACTTCAGTTCCAATCTCTTCCACAGCTGGAAGTGCAGGCACCACAACAAAACTGAGCCCCGGCTTCACTAGTACTGGGGTCACAGCAGGTAAACTTGGTTCAGAGTAAATTATATGTTTATACCAATCAACCGGTGTTGATCAATTTTGTGCAGCAAATATATTTTTTAAATTAAATATCAGAGTTATTGCTTCTTATATGTAATTATGCCTTTCATCATGTTGCTTTTGTAAAATTTTCATATTGTAATTATATAATCCCACTATCTGATAGTTGGTAGCCTCTGTGCACTAGTTACAACCAACTATTTACATTTTTTTGTCCTTCATCAGGAAGAACTAGAATTTTACCAGATATAACAGCTGAAGCCAACAATGGAATAACAAATGATAGTTTTCAAGTAGGTGTAACAAAGATATGAAGAAGATATATATACTCCATATAGGCAGTTCTGGGATTCACATCAATAATAACTGTACTCTGAGTAAAACCTTTGCTAAAGGGGCCAGGTATAAAAGTGATAGAGTCCTCTCTAGCTTACTTATCTCCTCTAACAACATGGTACTCAAAGTGTGCCTTTTGGTCCAGTAGTATTGAAATCCTGTGGGATCCTGTTGGATGGTCTTATGTCTGGGTCCACATGGCTAGAATCGGAAGTCCTGGGGTGGAGACCAGCAGACTGTATTAAGTTGTTTAGGCAATTGATGCTCAACTTGGAGAAGTGTCCCTCTACAATCCCCATTCTTTTTAACCTTCCTTTGAGGTTACACTCCATCAATGTCATATCAGAATGACTTTCCCAAAGCTCAGTTCACCTTTGACTATATATATAAAGTACTTAAATATTTATTTTTTTAATATTTATTTTTTAGGTGTAGTTGGACATAATACCTTCATTTAATTTATTTATCTTTATGTGGTGCTGAGGATCGAACCCAGCAGTTCACACATGCTAGGCTAGCGCTCTACTGCAGGGCTACAACCCCAGCCCCATACTTAAATATTTCTAATTGCTTTTAAGATTAATTAAATCTTTATATAGCATTAATAGGTATTTTTCATCTATGCACAGGACTTCTCTTCATGCTATGAAGAAGTCCATGGCCTCATTGTGTTTTCCCTTCACTTATGTTAGTTACTGTTGTAGTTTAAAACTTATTAAATAATGCTTTGAATAAGCTGTTACTTACATTCAAATTACTGCAGTAAATGATATGGTTTATACCTAGTAGGAAAATTAAGAAAGTGGGAGATTCCAATTAGACCAGCAAACTTCTTGAAATTTTAGAGAGATGACCATTTGGTTTCCAATCACAAAAATCTGTATCTGAATTACTTGGGTAATAATGACATGTTAAACTGTGATCACTTTGGGTTACCAGGCATTGAGTATGGTAATTTTAATAGGGTTACCTAAAGTTAGGTCCAGAAATGTGACTCCCAGACTATTAAAAGTCCATAATATGGTAAAAAGTAAAACACACAACAAGTACTTGGAAATGTAGTAGTTTAGCACAACAAGGTTTAACTGTAAGGATGATTATATATGGTCTTTTCATTTCATATCTGAATTTATGTAATAGCATTGTTCTAAATTGTTCAAAGTATTCATCTACCATACACTGAACACTACAATAGGCCCGTTACCTCAGATGGTTTGGGAATACTTGTGGGAGTGAATAGTTAGGGACAGAGTGCTTGAGTTCTACTCCTTCACCTGTGAGTACCCAGTAGGATTACTTAACCATATCTGATAAGTAGGAGGAACATGTTGACTGCCTCAAAGGATGTTTATGAGGAAAATGAATTCAGTTAATTCCTAAAGCAATTTGAAATTCTGTTTTTTTTTTTAATTTAAGGAGGAAAAGAAGGCCAAATACCTAATAGGGAGGAGGAGGGGAGAGGGCAGCTCACCTGGGGAACCCAGGACTGGACCTATAAGCCCAGGAGACTTGGGTAGACAGGATGTGCACTTAGTGCCTATGAAATGAGTACAAATATAAAAACCTATGCCGTTGGATAAATCATGAAAATGTACAAGAAGATTGAAATTTTGCCTTTAATTTCCCAATCTCCTCCTTTAGAGGAACTAGCATAAATTGCAACTACTGCTATTGTGTTTATTAGGTACAACAGGAAAGTCCCTGGGAGTCACCTCAGAAGCAGTCAGGGCCAGTACATCTGGACCATCAGGCACTGGGGCCACCAGTGCTGGAAGCCCAGCAGGTAGGACAGAGCCTCCTTAGGGGTGATGACAGGGTTCAATGATAGTTTTTGTCAGGATCCCTGAGTGTGAGAATGAGAAGGAGGAAAGGTAACCATGGAGAACATTGAAGAACTAATGACTAGAATAAAACTTAAAAAAAGTCCCTGAAATAGTTCTTCAGAGCTCTCTGTACATTAGGTACCATGTTTGCTCTAATTAGGAACAAGTGGAAGAGCTGACACAGCCACCACTGTCTCTGCTGGTGAAAACACTTCTGGAAGGGCAGGTACTGAAGGAGAATAAGGAGCATAAAATCCAGGCAGCGGATGTGAGAGCTGTTAGCTCAAAGCCTAGTCAGAGACAAAGTTTCTACCATTATAAATCCTACCATTATCATTTATTTGATGTCAACACTTTTGAAGATGAGAAATATATCAACAAGAATACCTGCGGTACTTAGTATTTTTAGAGTGACTGTGCCATGTAGTGAAAGAATAGGGGCATATAACATCTCACCCAATGATACTGGGATAGGGGAAAATTAACATTGTAGGTAAAGAAGTAAAGAATAAATGAGATGGCAAGTAAAAGTAAAGAATAAATGAGAAGAAAACTTGAAAATTGGAATATAAGACACATCTAGGAAACAGAGACAAGTACCTAAATGTTTAACCATAAATTTTCTATGTGATTATTTTATTTTAGTTAAGGCACTGATCCCTTAAGATAACTGTATTATCAGTTACCTGATTTATCCCACTTTACCTTCAGGTAGAAATTAAGATATCATCAAAGCTTACAGCAAACATACATTCATTCTTTTTAAGAAAAAGAAATAATATTTGGGGACATATTCATAAGATTTTCCTTTAGGTTTTCTAACGTGATGGTTTTTTTCATGATAAATATCAGGTACATCTGGGACATCAGCTGGAACAACCCCTGAAGCTCGAGGTAGCAGTACCCCTGGAGGAGCAGGCACTGGAGCCACAGGTACAAGTGAGGTCCACCAGGTTGGATGTGATGCATTAGGAGCTTCCATCCATGCCCTTCTGCAGCAGATGTAGGTCTGCAAAATTAGGCCATCACTTAGAACAGATTACTAGTCTATGAAAATTAAAAAGATAATATCCTTAATTTTCTCTTCTTCTGGAGACACTCAAATACTCATAGGGGTGGCAATAAGTAATAACACATGCTAAATATAGCTTTCCTATTTTCAGAGACCTCAGGAGTGTCTCCAGGCTCCACCACTGCCAGCCCTAGGGACTCAGCTACACCTTCTTCAACCTCTGGTAGCAGCAAGTCAGGTAAATTAGAGGGAGAAGTCCAAAAGTTTGCAGGTATTAAATGGAGAGGGTAAGCATGTCCCAATTTCTGTTCTCTGAAATGTAGTGAAGAGTAGAAAGAACTAATTAGAGACTTGCATAGTGAGCCTCATTATGGACCAACATTTCAGCAGGTAGCTGTGGAGCAATTGGAATCGATTGAACCGTCTTTCTATAATCTTATGCAATTGTGAGAGTCCACAAATGTGCTGCCTATGTGCCTTAATGGTTTTAAGCACCCTGCCCTGGAACTTTTGAGATTGTGAATGTGAAGTGGACCATAGTTTGCTATCCTGGCTATAAATTACGATTAACTTCAAGAAAAGTTTGGAATTTTTCCATCACAGACCCATTGAATTTATGACCCTTGAAAAAGGCCTTTGTTGGTATATATTTTAAAGCCTCAGTTGGTCGCAATATGCAGCCTAAGTCAGCACCACTAGGTTCAAATATGAGAACACTATTGAAGTAGAAGAAAAGCAATCTTACTTGCAAGCAAAATTAATTTACTTCACTTGAAGGATGCTAATTTGTACAAGATTTTATGATCAATTTTTGGAATGATTAAAACAGAAATAAATGTATAAATAAAAGTATGAAGAAATAAATGAGTAAATAAAAGTATAAAGAAATAAATGAGAGATATTTTAAAAGCAGAGATCAGCATTGCATCATCTGTACAACTTCTTCAAGGGTCAGGATATTATTTGCTATTTGTTTTGAAAGGCACTACTGGATCATCAGTTGGCACAACAACCAGAGCCCAAAGCAATGCAGTGACATCACCTGGGAAATCAGGTGAGTAGAGGATGGCATTTAGAAGTCCTGGCTTTGGTCAAAATGAAGAGTTGTTTATGGGAACCCTGCTTATTTAAAGCAAAATAATGGAGATGAATATATCAATACCCGGTTGAACCAATTCAAAGAAAGATGTCTTTGTAAAGAAAAATGCAATAAGTAAATCAGAATTTTCAAGAAATTCATATTAGCACAAATATCATAGGTACTTATGGGTAATAAGTTATTTGATTCATGTATTCTATTTCCTATAATAGGAGTGATTGGACAGTTACATCGTCCATTGATAATAATGTCCAAAGTAGACTTTAGGTGAGAAGTTTCTTTGTTCTTCTCAGGCTCTACTGGTACTTCAGTCCATATTACCTCCTCAGCTGGAAGTGCAGGCACCACAGCAGCACTGAGCCCCAGCTTCACCAGCCCTGGGGACACATCAGGTAAGTCCAGCTCTGCAATTTATACTACTTACAGCCAACTAACTGGTTCACATAATGCTAATTAGATAATATATTTTCAAACCAAATATCAGGCTTAGATGATTATACATATATGTAAAATTAAAATATAGTATTTTTACCTTTTCAGCATGTTGCTTCTTAAAGTGTATCATGTAAATTATATGCTATCACTAAATGATAATTTGAAGATCCCCATGACATTTTTAATGTAAAATTTGCAAAATTTTATTTTTTTAATTTTTTAAAAATTTGTTTTAGTTATACATGACAGTAGAATGCACTTTGCATCATATATAATGGAGTATAATTTCTCATTCTTCTGGTTGTACATGATACATAGTCACACTGATTGCCCATAAAATTTTTTTACCCAGGTTTTTAATTTTTTTTAAACTATATTCAGGATAATTAGAAAGTCACCAGGTATAACTTTAGAAACCAATAAGGGAATTAAAAATGACACAGCTTTAAATTGGGTGAAACCAAGTAGTGAGGAATATCCTATATTATATAGATTCAGTCTTTTTTTTTAATTTCCTGGCAGTGTTAATCTTACTGAGTAGAGCCTTAGATAAAGGGGCCAATTTAATAATTACACATCAATTGGATGACTTTGGGAAATATTCCACAATTAATGCTATGGTTACAAAAAACATTAGTGATGTATTTTATGGCAATTTAAAATGTCTAACTTATACTCAAATACTTTCAATGTAGGGCAGTGAATCTTACCATCATTGTGTTTGTGTCATTATTCCCATGAGATAAAACAGTCTCCAAGCTGGAAAGGCAGGGATAGAGCACAGAGTGCTGAGCCTCATGGGCAATAGCTGGTGCCTGAGAGTCTGTGAACTGTGTCTAGAGCTGGCAACCAACAAAAGCTAAGCAGATTATACTCTGGTTTGTTCATTATTTACTCAGGTCAGTGTTAGATACAGGAATAAACTATCATTGACAACATTTAAGCATAGATGAATGAGATTGAAACAAGCAAGACAAAGTTTACAACTGTCCTTCAAACCATCAGTTACAATCATAAGGATCTCTGAAGGGTCTTCTCCTTGTGGTCCATTGTCCTGTGTTTTATTCAAGTGTTAAGCCCTTCCCCCAGTCCCTGCAGTCCTTTGCTTAGCTTGCCTCCTTCCTCCAACACCATGGTGCTCACAGTATGGCTCCTGGCCAGTAGCATCTGAACCCTGTGGGAACTTGTTACACAGTTGGTGACTTGGGGGTCCAGCAGCCTAGAATCAGAAAGTGTTGAAGGGGAAGCCAGCAGACTGTTAACTTGTTAACATAACAAGTGTTTTAGCAAATCAATGCTCAAGTTAGAGAACAATTTCTTTACAACTTCCAGTCTTTTCCAGCTTCACTCCCTCTTTACACAGGAGTCAATGCCAAGTCAGTAGATCATTTCCAAAGCTCAGCTATGATCCTATCTATGCTCCTTTTAAAATATTTTTAACACTATGGATTGCTTTGAAGATATGTGAAAACTTTGTTACCATTAAGAGTACTTTTGCTCATGAATGCACTGGATTCTGTTTATGGATGAATTAATGAATCTATGGCCTGTTTTTGTTTTTCCTACCCTTGGTTTGGCTTAGCAATTGTAATTAAGTTTATAGCATAAATAGTGCTTATATATGCTATTCTTTGTATTAATATTACTGAATTAGGAGATAAGATTTACATATTTAAGAAAAATAAAAAAGATTGATTCCAATTACATGAGTAACTTATTGAAACCTTAAAATAATTAATAGTTTATCATTACAAAAATCTGAAGTAGAAATACTTGAGTAATAATAAGATCTCAAGGAGTAATCTCTTTTAATTTGAGACAGTAAATACAATGATTTGTGACGAACTCAAAACTTGGTACACAAATATGAGTTCCCAGACTGTTAAAGATTGGTGATATGATAAAAAGTGAAACAGATCACAAATATTTGGAAATATAGCATTTTAACATCATAATCCATAAACTGCTATATAATGGCTTGTATATTATATGATCTTATTTAAATTTTACATCTGTACTTTTGGCATTTTTAAAAGAATGCCTCTAGCAGAGATTGGAAACATTACAAATTGATCCTTTTATCACAAATCACTTGAGAAGCAGCAGTTATGGTATAAAATCAGGGCTAGATGGCTAGATTTTGGTGTCTTCATTTTCTGTCTACAAATTGAATGACTCGGAGCACATCACTTTACCATATTCGATAATTGTCAAGAATAGTGTAACCTGGTAAAGAGGATGTTTATGAGATTAAAATACTTGGTTATTTTTAAAGGAATTTTTTAAATGATTATTTTTTTTACCAGGAACACGAAGCCCTAGTGCAACAACATCTGGGAAGGAAGAGAGTAGCACATCTGGGGAACCCAGCACTGGAGCTACAAGCACAGGAAGTTCAGGTAAGTCAGGATGTGCACTGAGTGCTTGTTAAGTGGGCACAAATATGAAAGCATCTAGGCTGCTGGATAAATCATGAAAATATGCAAAAGACTGAAATTTTGTCTTGATCTCCCAGTCTCCTCCTTCAGAGGAACTAGCATATGTTTCAAGCACTGCTACTGTGTTTATCAGGTACAACAGGAGAGTCCCTGGGTATGATCTCAGGAGCAGTCAGGCACTAGAACTACCAGTGCAGGAAGCCCAGCAGTAAATCAGCGCCTCCTTAGTGATTGTAGCATAATCTAATCCATGTTTTGTCAAGAACCTTGAGTGTAAAATAAGGTCAAGAAAAGGAACAATGGAGAATATTGAAGGAACCTATTACTAGAATAAAATCACATAATGTCCTGGCAAGATGGTTTTCTTCCTAGCTCTCTGTACACTCAGAACCATTTTTCTTACCATTAGCAACAAGAGGAGGAACTGACACAGCTACCACTGTCTCTTCTGCGGAAAACACATCTGGAAGAACAGGTACAGAAGGAGCATTTAAAGGATGAAATCCAGACAGTAACATGACAGCTGATTGCTTAAAAATAGTCAGAGACACAGTTTCCTGGGAAATCTGACCATTATGATTTAGGTGTTGTCAAATCTACAGAAGGTCAGAAATATATCAACAAGTATATGTGAAGTATTTAATATATTTTTGGAAAAAATATTAGTGACATATATTTCACTATGTTCAATTATGGTGAAAGAATGGAGCATATAACTGATATCAAGAGGGGGAAACATTATAATTTGGATTACAAGACAATTCTAGTGAACAGGCAAAAGGACATTGATGTTGAACCTTGAATGTCTTAATGGAATGAGCACGTTATAAGAATTACCTGATTTACATCAATTTACCTTCGGCACTATCTTAAGATATCAGTGAAAATTACAGGATAGATACATCCATTCTTTTTAAAGGCTAAAGAAAATATATTTCAGTTCATATTCACAAAGACACTCTTTTTGATTTTCATAAGCTGCCATTTCCCCCCCTATAAGTAACAGACACACTTGGGTCATCGTCTGGAACAACCCCTGAAGCTCGAGGTAGCAGCACCCCTGGAGGAGAAAGCCCTGGATCCACAGTTTCAGGTGAGTTCCACCTGAAAGGAGCTCCCATCCATGCCCTTCTGCAGCAGATGTAGGTCTGTAAAATCAGGCACCAACTGGGATTACATTATTGAACTAAGAAAAGGTGAAAGGATCATAACCTTCAATTTCCTTATTCTGGAGACACCCAGATACTAATATAGAAGGTGAGAAAACATGCATCCCCCACCCACACCCCATGCCCTGGTTCTTGTTTCCAGGAACCACAGGAGTGTCCACCACTGCCAGCCCTGGGGACTCGGCTAGACCTTTCTCAACCTCTGCTAGCAGCACATCGGGTAAGTGTGAGGGAGAAGTCCATGGGTAAATTGTAAAATAAAGAGTGTATGTATATCCCAAATTCTATTTTCTGGAATGTGGTAAAGAACAGGAAAATCTAGTAAGTGACTTGAGGAAGTGAGCCCAATTCCTGATCAATGGTTTGTCAGGTAGCTGTGTCCCCTCTGGATTAGATGGTCTTTCTATAATCTAATGCAATTTTGAGGATGTCATGTGTTTATGGGCCTTAATAGTTGCAAAACCACCGATTTGGAGTTTCTGAGGCTGTGAGTCTAGAGTGAGACCATAGTTTGTAATTCTGGCTAGAAATTAGAATCAACTACAGAAACCTTTGGAATTTTTCCTTCTCAGTCCCATTGAATATGTAACCCTGGAAAAAGGCCTTTGCATGTGTATATTTTAAAGCCACAGTTGGTTCCGATATGCAGCTTAGTTTAGAGCTACTGTGTTCAACATGGTGAACATTAAAGAAGTAAATAATAAGCAGTGTTATTTGCAAGAATCAGTATGGATTCTAAGTTGAACAAAAATGATGATCAATTTTGCCAATGATTCAAACAGAAATAAAGCAGTATGTATGAAAACTTTTGAAAGGAGAGATGAGCATGATCTATACCACTTAATCAAAGATCATATTATTTATTGTTTTGATTTGATATGCACTAATGGACCATGAGTCGGCACAACAGCCAGATCCCAAAGCAATAAAGTGACATCACCTAAAGGGAACTCGGGTGAATAGAGGATGGCATTCAGAAGTCCTGGCTTTGGTCAAAATGAACCGTCATTTTTGGAAACCTTGCTTATTTTAAAGTAAAGTGTTTTAGATGAAAGTTTGAAGACCCACTTGACCCTTTTCAAGCTTCAGAAAGATGTCTTTGTTAAATAAAATAAAACAACAAAATATTCAAATAATTAACATTAAAAAAATATCATGGGCAACTCTGGGTACTAAGTGGCTGAATTCTTTTACTCAATTTTTACACATTAGAAGAGATTGGATAATTAAATCACACATTGGTAGCAAGGTTCAAGTAGACTTTAGGTGAGAGGTTCCTTTGACGTTTTTCTCAGGCTCTACTGGAACATCAGTTCTCATCACCTCCACAGCTGGAAGTGCAGGCACCACAGCCCCACTGAGCCCCAGCGTCACCAGTCCTGCAGACACGTCAGGTAAGCCCAGTTCATAGCTAATTTCACTGGCCAGAGTCAAGGAACTATTTTCAGCAATGTTGCTCAGGATTTTTCCAAATCAAATATCAGACTTAGGAGACAGTTCTTCATATGCAATTAGCATTTAATATCTTTAGACTTTTAGCAAGTTGCTTTCTTAAATTATGTTACAATTACCCATTCCTACTGTCTGATAATTGTAAGCCTCCATCCAATTATTTATTATAGTTCTAAAATAGTTTTGAACTTCATCAGGACAGCTAGAATGTTACCTGGTATAACAGTAGGAAGCAACAATGGAATTACGAGAGCCATGTCTTCCAAACAGGTTAAATAAAGACAGAAGGTAGATCTTACATTTCGCCTCAACAGTAACTCCATTCTGAATAGAGCCTTAGACAAAAAGGCATTTGAAGAGTTATACAGATCAATTCCATGACTTTGGGAAACAGTCAATAATTAATCTTTGCAGTTTTGTAAAGCATTGATATTATATTTGTAAGGCACATTTAAATTTCTTATTTACTCTCAGATATTTTCTTGTATTGAACAAACTTAACACCGTCATGTTTATGAGTCATTTTTTCCATAATATGAGAATATAATTAAAATGTCTGTGGTGGCAAGTTTGGTTTAAAAGAAAGACTACTGAGGCTTGAGGGCATTAGCTGGTAGGTCAGTAGTCTGACCAGTGTGCAAGAGTTCACACCCAACAAAAATCAAGAAAATATGCTGCTGCTTGCACATCAGTTGCTAAATTAGGTCCAGCAATAAAATATTATTGAAAAATATTAAAGCATGTATGATTAGATTGAATACAAACACAACTAAATTAACAACTGTCCCTCTTTCTGTCAGTTATACATTTTAAAGAATTTAAAGTGTCTGCTCCTTGCATTCCATTTTTCTGTGTTTTATTTAGGTGTTAAACTCTTTCTCCCAGTCCTTGCAATCCTCTGCTGAGCTCACCTGCTTCCTCTAAGACCATGGTGCTCAACAGTGTGGTATCTGGACTGGCAGCCTCAGAATGCTGTGGGATCCTGTTAGAAGGGCACATTTCTGGGTCCAACTGCATAGAATCAGAAAGTGTTGGGGCAGAACCCAGCAGACTTTTTAACAAGTATTTTATGGAATCAATGATCCAGTTGGAGAGTAGCTTTCCATAAGTCCCACTCTTCCAACTTCCCTCCCGGGTTTCACTGCACCTATGTCACCTACCCATTTCCCATTATTCAATTGTCACCCAATTTCTGCAGTATTTAAAATGCTTAAGTATTTATAATTTTTTAAGATAAATCAAAACTTCGTATTATTTAGAGGCATTCTTCACATGTATTCACAGGATGTTTGCCATGATTTTATCATCACATCCATGGGCTTACTTTGGTTTTTTCCTACAGTTTTTGGTTAGCTTTGATTTAAAATTTATGACAAATAGTGATTTGAAAAAAATGTTTTTTTTTTTACATTACAAATACAGGGTTAAATGATTTAGTTTACACATAGCAGGAAAATAAACAGGGTAATTCACATTCAATCACTAAACTTATCAAATTTTTGGAGTATAACAGTTTATATTCAGAAAATTTTGAATCAGAATTAAATGGCATCAGTGACATCTCAATAAGTGATCTCTTTGTCATCACACAATAAGTCCCATGATCAGAAACAGGTTACTGAAAGTTTGGTGCCCTAATACATGTTCTCAGACCAAGTGAAACAGAATAAAATTTGGTAAATGCAGCATTTAAGTACTATCATCTTCTAACTGTTGAACAGAGATGGACATATTACATGATCTTTGTTTAAGAAGATCTAGATTTACAGTTATTTTATTGTAATTGTCCTTTATAAGTGATTGTTTTTAAAAGAAAGCTTCTAGCATAGAAGAAACAGTAAAATTAGTCTTTTGCATCATCAGTTGAAGCATCTGACTAAAGGAAGTTTATGCGGTTAAATGATGTGATTGATGCATAAGGCAATTTGAAATGCTATTTTCCATCAGTAGGAACAGGAAGCCAAAGTACAACAACCCCCAGTGGGAAGGAGGGCAGCACACCCAGGGAACCCAGCACTGGAGCTACCAGCGGAGAGAACTCAGATGAGTTAGGATGTGCACTTAGTGAATATTATTGGGTAGAAATATGGAAGCATGTAGGCATGAAAATATACATGAAGATTTAAATTTTTCTTAATCTCCCGTTGTCTTGCTTCCGAGGAACTAGCATAAGTTGCAAGCCCTGCTACTGTGTTTATCAGGTACAACAGGAGAGTCCTTGAGATCAACCTCAGGAGCAGGCAGCGCAAGTACACCTGCACCTTCAGGCACTGGGGCCACCAGCACTGGAAGTCCAGCAGGTGAGACAGAGCCTCCTTAGTGACTGTGGTGGGGTCTAATGCAAGTTTTGTCCAGATCCCTGAGTGTGAAAAGGAGCACAAGGAACGAAACAATGGAGAATATGGAAGGAACTGATGACTAGAATAGACCATGGAATGTGCTGGCATGAGCTTTTCTTCCTTCCTCTCTGTACACTAAGCACTATTTTTTCTCCCCTTAGCAACAAGAGGAGCAACTGACAGAGCCACCACTGTCTCTGCTGGTGACAACACATCTGGAAGGACAGGTACTGATGGAGCTTAAGGAGCATGAAATTCAGGCAGTAGACATGTGAGCCCTGGGCTCAAATTTAGTCAGAGATGGGGTTTCCTGGGAGTCTCACCATTGTTATTTATATGATGCCAAAAAAACAGAGATAGACTCTGTGTGTGTGTGTGTGGGGGGGTGTATGAGAGGTAGACCTGCATCAGCTACAGGAGAACACAGATGGGGAGACTATTAGATATTTGTTCTGTATCTACTATAGTGTTGGAATATTTGGGGAAAGTAGGAAAAGTTTGGGAAGCATTCATTTTTCAAAGGATAAGTAGCACAGCAATGAAAAAGGAGAAATCTGTAAACAGAATCACAATTCTAATATCAAGAGCCAAGGACTTAGATGGTAAGTCATAAATGGTCTACATGATTGTTACATTTTATTCATAATATTTTTTAAAAGTTCCTATGTTATCTCAGTTAGATGAGTTCACTTACTTACCTGGAGAGAGAAACTGCTGTCTATGAAATTCATAATGTAGATACATCTATTCTAATTCATATAAAGGATACTTTTATGATTTTCCTAAGCTGATATTTCCCCCCAATAAATAATCAGACACACCTGCGACATCATCAGGAGCTACCCCTGAAGCTAGAGATGGCAGCACCCCTGAAGGAGCAGCCACTGGAACCACTGTTTCAGGTGAGGTTTACCAGGTTGGATGTGATACATCAGGACCTCCCTATCTGTGTTCTTCTATAGTAGAGGCAGGTCTACAATATTGGGCAGTGACTGGGATTATATAGTGGGTCTAAGGAAAGGTGAAGGGATCACTTGTTTCATTTTTTGGGAAACGCCCAAATACTCATATGGAGAGCAGGAATGACATGCACCCCCCACCTAAGCACTGGTTCTTGTTTCCAGGGACCACAGGGGTGTCTGCAGGCTCCACCATTGCCAGCTCTGGAGACTCTGCTAGACCTTCCTCCACCTCTGCTAGCAGTAAATCAGGTATGTACAAGGGAGAATTCCATGAGTGTGCAGGTATAAAATGGTGAGTGAATGCATGTCTCAATTTCTATACTCTAGAGTGTAGTGAAGATCAGAAATAACTAGTTAGAGATCTGAGAGTGTGAGGCCAACTTTTGACCAACAGTTCAGCAAGTATGAGTGTGCTGAGTGACTTAGATGTTCTTTCTGTAATCTTATGAAGTTGTCAGGTTTTCTGTGGGTCACAGTAGTGTCAGAACTCTGTTCCTGGAACTTCTAAAGCAGTGAGTGTGGAATGGGCCCATAGTTTGCTAAGGTGGCTATAAATTTTAACCAACTTCCAAAAAAATTGGATTGTTTCTTCAGAGTGTCATTGAATGCATGCATGTATTTTAAAGCCTCAGTTTATTGCCATAGGCAGCCTGGGGCAGATACACTAGGTTCAAATAAGTGAACCATAAAGAAGTTGGTAATAAGCAGTCTTATTTGCAAGCAAAATGAATGCACTTCACTAAATGATTCCAAGTCTTACATGATATTATGATTGCTTTTAGGAAATATTAAAACAAAACTGGTTTGATGTCCCAGCTTGACCAGTTTAGGGGACACATTGGGTACTCAATTCAGAGCAGATTATTCTGGCTACAAACAAGGATCGATTTCAAGCAATGCTGCACAACACAATATTTTTCCAAATCAATAATCGGACTCAAAGGGTAGTTTTTCTTACATAATTAAATGTAATAGCCTTTTATAAAGTTACTTTTATAAAACATACCATGTTATAACTATATGTCCCCACTATTTGGTAGTTGGTAGTTCCTATGCAGTTATTTTTAGCCAGGTTTAATTGTTCTTTAAATCCTTCATCACTGAGAACAAGAAAGTCAGCAGATAAAACAGCAGGAACCAATATGGAATTACAAGAGACACAGCTTACAAACAGGCATATCAAAGATATGAGGCAGATCCTAGTCTACCCAGGCAGTCCTGGGTTCCCCTTCACAATACCTTCACTCTGAGTAGAGCCTTATCTACAGGGGCCAAGTACAGGAATATCACAGGCCAGTGGGATGATTTGGAAAATATTCAATATTTAATGTTTGTAGTTCAGTAAAAAGTTAATGATATATTTTTTATGGAATATTAAATTTGTTTATATATTGTTTGTGATCAAGTCAAACTTAAACCCCTTGAAGTTACATGCCATTATTCCTGTCAGATGAGAAAATACAAATGGCCTCAAGCTGGCAAGGCAGAGGTAGAGTACAGACTACTGAGCCTCATGGGCACTAGCTGGCTCCAGTTCTGTGACCTGCATTGGCAGCTCCCATCCAACAAAACCCAAGGAGAACATGCCTCTGTTTGTTCATTGTTGGCTCAGTATTATCATAGTTAAATCCAGGAATGAAAAGTTTTGATGATATTAAACAAAAAATTTTGATTAAAAACAAGCCAGACTAAATTTGCAATGATCTTCATGTCATCAGTTTGAAATTATAGGGACGTCTGCAGTGTCTTCTCCTTGCATTCCTTTAGCCTGTGTTTGATTCAGGTGTTGCACCCTTTGCCCCAGTCCCTGCAGTCCTCTGCCTAGGTCACCTCTTTCCTCTATAACAAAGGTGCTCTGCTCAAAGTGAGGTTTCTGGATCAACAGCACAGGAATGCTGTGGGATCTTGTTAGATGGCCACATTTCTGGGTCCACCAGCCTAGCATCAAAAGTGTTGGAGTGGAGCCCAACACACTTCTTAACAAGATTTTAGGGAATCAGTGATTCAGTTGGAGAAGTTCCTTTCCACGAGTGACACTTTTTCCCGACTTCCCTCCTAGGTTGCACTCCATCAACGTCAAATGTGAAAGACGTTCTCATAGATTGGTTTTCAACCTTTTGTGCAGTATTTAAAGTACTTACATATTTCTGATGTTTTTAAGATAAATCACACATTTTTGCTATTAAGAAGGCTTTTTCTCATCTAAAGCTAGGATGTCTTTCCATGTGTTTATTAACAAATCCATGGACCTATTTGGGTTCATTCTAGAGTTTTTTGATTAGCTGATGCTTTGATTTATAATTTATGACAAAGAGTCATTTGAATAAACTTCATTTAACATTAAAACTACAGAGCTCAATAATTAGTTTATATGTAGGAGGAAAATAACCTGGGTAATTTTCTTTGGATCAATAAAGTTATTAAAATTTTAGAGTGATGAGCATTTAGTTTATATTCACAAAAATCTAATTCAGAATTAGATGCTAACAATGATATCTAAATAGGTGAACTCTTGTTATCAGACAGTAAGTTCCATAGATCTAGAACACGTTATTGAAAGTTTGGTGCCCAAGTGTGTGCTCCCAGTCTGAATGAAACAAAACAAACATTTGTCAATATAGCACTTTAACACTATCATGTTTTAACTGCTAAATAAAGATGTACAGATTATATGACCATCAGTATTTAAGTTTTACCTCTGGCTTTATTTCATGTTTTTTTATGACTCCATTGTAGTTATACTCAATATTGGGTAATTTTAAAAGAAAGCCTCTACCATAGATGGGAAACCATACAGTTGATTTGACAAAATAAGTTAGAGGTAGGTCTTTTTCTGTATTAGAGTATAAGGAAGTTTATGACATTAAAAGATTTGATTGATGCATAGGCAATTTGAAATGGTGTTTTCCATCAGTAG